TAAATATTTGTAAAAAACACAATTAGACTGTTAAGATTGACAGAAAGTGACAAATGCAGTGGGAAGAAGCAGAAGACTGACAGAGAGTAGCAATCTTGCAACACCCAACAAGCAGTAATGAGTCAGAAAAAGGACTTTTATGGAAGTCCTAGCTGTAATTATCTCAGCATTTTGGATCAGATCTCTTTGGACTCGCAGCTTGTCTCCTCCCTCCCTCCGGTCTGCCACTGCACTCCCTGCTTTGACTCGTCTTGTGCAGCGAGTGCAAACACAGACGGTGAAGTCTAGCACCCATTTTAAAACATCTGTCTCACCATGAGTGCTCTCACAGAGAAATGGCCGACATCAGATCTGTCACATTTGTAAAAGCTTCACTTGAACATCTTGAACATCAGTAAAGTATTTATGTGAAAGCAGCTGTCCTCCATTCTGCTAATCAATTATATTTCAAAAGGTCCCATATTATAGGAATCTAAATGTTCTTCTATTTTTGTACTTATAATGAAGGAATCAAGAGAGGATGAACACTTTCTTCTAATTACATTTTGTTAGAGTTCAAGCTATTAAACTCAAAACTCTTTTCCTTTTTCAACACCACTACAAACAAAAAATGCATCATTACTAGTCTTGTTTCTGATTGGCTGTCTTTATTAAAGAAACACTAAAATCCATCCAGCATTTGAACTAGCACCCAGTCAGCTGTTAATCTACGTAACACATCCTAAGGAATAATACAGTGATACTGAACCACAAAAAAAAAAAAAGAAATCCGCCCGTAAACCAGAGGAATCCGCAGGCTCATGATTTATTTATTTTATTTTATTTATTTTTTTTTTGGCAAATACATTTGGTCTGTATAAAATAATGTAGCCATGCAAAGTCACCTATTGGTTTGTAGACTCCCATTTTGAAGCCTCAAGTTTGGCATTTTGTCCATCGTCGCCATCTTGGATTTTTGTAGCCAGAAATGACCGTACTTGGACTACAGAGTGGAGCTAATCCTAATGCTAGTTGCCAGCTTGATTAGCACGGTGCATTTGCAGCTATGGTTACCTGTGATAGTGCTAATGCTATTTTTTTTTTGGCTAGCAAAAAAACATATGAAAATCATTAAGGAAAAATGCACTTACTGTAAAAATCGAACATTCAACTACTTAGAGGGCCTTTCAGTACAACCAAACACTGAACAAGACTTTTTTAGGCAACTAATTAACAACCAACTTTAAAAAAAAAAAAAAAAAAAAACAAAACACTAAAATAGTAATAGCTACACCTATGTAAATTTAGGGTTACACCATGGTAATGATACCTAGCTAGCACTTTTGCTGTGGTCGCGACTTGTCATCCAACGGCACCCACCTGTCACTCCTGTCCACGCCCTTATTTATGCATGAACTTTAAGGGTGAGTTACATAAAAATTCATCCCCCATACAGTTGTCATGAACTGAGAAATTAACTATAGAGATAAAAACTGTTTTTTGTACCAGGATGTAAAAATGTTTATTTCTGCTGTAAAGTTGGGTCTATGGGGATCGTCTTGCTTTTGGAGCCAGCCTCAAGTGGTCATTCGAGGAACTGCAGTTTTTGGCACCTGTAGTCTGTTTACATTTGTACATCATTCACTCTCTGGAAGGCTAGTGACTGAAAAATCCATTTTCTCCAGTTTGAGGTATAGTGATACATTTAGGCCAGAGCAAATGTAATTTTCAAGACAGAAAGGTCATCTTGGGCTCAAATTGAAGCTTATGAAATTGGAGGTGGAGCAGT